CACACACACACACACACACATCCCATCGCATGCGCGTGACAAACACGGACTTTAAACGTGAAGGTTTATAACATTCACACTGGCGAGGTGGATGCGCCCTGCGCGTGTATCCAAAGCTTTTGCTGTCCTGCTGTTCTTATCAGGGAAGGGTCTGTGGGTCAGGGTCGTCTGAGGAGGAAGCAGATGAATGGAGTTKCRCACRGGAACTTTTATTTAAGTCTGATTCTGAAGGTAAATTAAATCTCTGACAGTGATCATTACACATTGTGGCTCTAATTCCTCACTTCACCATCTGTGTCACAGTTTCACGTCTCCAAAACAAGCGTACGCATGGGTCAAAGCTGGCGTGAGGCACCGCACATTTTCACGTCAAGTTTGGATTTTATAAATCACAACCTTGGCATAAAAAGTGGCGTACGCACATTTCTGGGCTCAAATTGTGCGTACGCCAGTTTTATAAAACTGACCCCAGGTGATGTTTTGCCATCACTAGTATCTCTGTAGACTTCTCTGCTCTCTCACAACACATTCTCTTACAGTCACAACAAGACATTTAGCCTCAGGCTGAATAAATGTGTCTACACATAGTACATACCCCGGGCCATTGCTGTCCTTCCCACGGTTGAACCCTTCATCATTAGCCTCATTGATGCCCCCTCTGCGGCCCTGATTCTCCTTGGTCTGATGCTCCACAACCTCCCCCTCATCCAGGGCATGATGGAGGCGGTAATTCACCGTTTTCAACAGCAGAAACATGGCAGCTATCACACCACAGTAGATTCCCACAATCACCTTAGTTGGTGGCAGAGCCTAACATCAGGGAAGGAAGAAGAAATTCACTAAGACAGGGAATCTGGTTAGTAGAACACCAAAGGGATGTCATAGTACGAATGAATAAATTGTTCTTGTGTTTACAGTTTTTCTGTATGTTGTTTCACTCTAACTGTTTGTATACTTTGTGAAGTTTCATATATTAAAGCATTCACTTCATTCAGGACATACACTGCAACTTTAGGTTTTAGTAACTTTTATACTTTTTAAACTTTACTAAAGTTTTAACTTTAGTAAAAAAAATTAAGAGTATTACTTTAACACTCCCCATAGAAATACATTGAGATTTCTTAAATTCCTTCAAAATTGTTTTCTTTGAAATCTGCTTTAACATGCATCATTCTTGTCTTCTTATGCTACTGTTAGCTTGTGTTCTGCACATTTTGGCCTCTGCTTTTTTTTTTCATTGGTTCTGTAGGTTTTGCAAATGAGAGTGTGCAACTGTCGAGCTGTGATTGGTGGAACAAAGTTCTGTCGGATGCTGTTTGGTTGTCACAGTATGACTTTATCACTAAAAACCAATCTCTAGCTCCTCGGTTCATTTTTTTCTTTAGTCTCAGTTTTTGTCAGAACACTACGAGCTGGCAGATGTCGACAGATCATCACCAAAATTTAAACATTTGTTCCTTGTGACAACCCCAAAATATCTTGAAAATTTCAAGAAAATGTGTTCAGAACTTTTTGAGTAGTCTTATGTATGAATAACAGATACAGATAGAGGGACAGACCAACACAACTGAAAACATAACCTCCTTGGCGAAGGTAAAAAAAATGCAAACGTTTGTTGTCAATGGCTGACAGCCTACTCTGCAGGTTTGTGCTTTGTTTACTGAGGATTTTGCAAACACAGCTGGGGCCTGACCCCTTCAACTAATATTTACCACCAGACTGATGTCAACCAGTAACATCTCCAGCCATTTCCCGAAGGTCCAGACTCTCTTGCGTTACCTACAGTCTAGACAGCAAAAGCAAGCATCAAACTACCATGACTRAACTTAGCTGAGGAGCAACTGGGGAATACAGAGGGGTCATCGACCTCTCATCGAAGCAAACACCTCCATGGAGACTCAGCCGTAAAACCCTCACACTCCTCTCTGAGACGTGTTCCAAATATTTACGGATCTACTCCTTCCAGACTGGCAACAGCTGCAGAACGCAGGGTCTGATAACAGGCCTGCCTAACACAGGCTGACCTCCATAGAAATACATTGGGCCCATCTTGGAGTGGGGTCATGGTACGGTCCACATTTGTGGCCTGCAGGGGCAGACTGACCTGAAACTGACCTATGACACAGCACATTCTCATTGGCAGTCTTGGCGGATGCGTTAGTGAACAGATCCTGGTTGTGGTCTCCAATAAAAGGTAGAAGCCTTCTTCTTTAAAGTTCCACTTCTGGGCTTCTTAACAACATGATGACAAAAAATATGTTGATGCACTGGCCATCTTAAATTGGGCTGATTCTAAAAGTTGCAGATGTAAACTATTACTTTCTGAAAGTTTTAATAAAATCTGTCCTGTGATGCATGAGATATTCCACAAACAACCCTGAATATGAGTAGGGCATCAGTCTCCACTACTACCACAATGAATTATAGAATTATAGCTCAGTATGTATAAAATTGGTTGAATTATTGGTATTTTGTGCTTGCTCATCTCTCTAAGCTGTGGTGGCCATAAATGTTGATCAGCTGTACAGTACATTAAGTAGGTACTTCCTGAAGGTTTTGTTGATGTTGGTTCAGTGATTCATGATGTATTTTGCTAAAAGACAGGGTTGACTCAGAGTATGAGCAAGCATCTGCCTCAGCTACCAACACACCAACATTTAGGTCAATATGTGCAAAACTGAAAACGTTATAGAGGCTTGTGTGTTTTAGTCCAATGTCTCCCAAAGTTGGGGTCGGGACACAAAGTGGGGTCCCGAAACATCAAGGTGGGGTMYTGAAAAGATTTCCTGAATTAATTACATTTTTGTCTTAGTTGTTACAAAGGAGTGAGGTTAGTGTATTTAAAATGGATAAATGTAGTATAAAAATATTGTTACTATGCCCATGTTTAGTTGACCTGATGTTTATCATACAAAAATAGCTGGGGACACAGGTCTCTGC